TATATATATATATATATATATATATATATATATAGTATATATACATACAGTGCCCTCCATAAGTATTAGGACAGTAAAGACAAAATTGCTCTGTTTGCTGTGGAGTCAAGAAATCTGTAAATATGATTAAAAGATGAATATGAGACAAAACTACAGAATGTCACATTTTATTATTGGGTGATTCAACACAGATATTTTACCAGCTAAGAAGATCAGCACTTCTAGAGTTTCATCCCCCTATCTGATGTGAGCATAAATAATGGGACAGTTGCCTCACAGGTCTTTCTAAGTGATCAGCTGTGTCCTGTTGCATTAATTGTTCCGATTTTAAAAGCAGAAAATGTGTCGTATCAGTTATACCCATTGCTTCTTGCATTTGATGACAACACACACAAATCAGGATGAAGACAAGGGGGCTGACTTTGAGAGAAAAGCAAGCAATTTGGATGCTAAAAGAAAAGAGGAAGTCAATTTGAGCTATAGCAAAAACAAAGGGCATGAAGAAATCAAGAGTTTGGAAACCACCGGCGACATCAGCAACCAACCAAGACCTGATCAGCTGAGAAAAACAACAGTAGTTGATGACAGACAAATAATAAAAGCTGTGAAAATACCCCCCCCAAAAAAAAATGTGTCTGTAAAATCACCAACAACCTCCAGAAAGCTGGGGTGATGCTCTGACAATCTACTGTCCGCATGAGACTTTGACACAGAATGACAGAGGTGACACAGCAAGATGCAAACCTCTGACCAGCACCAAAAATAGAAAGGCAAGATTAGTTTGCAAAAAAGCACAAAGGTGAGCCAGTAGAGTTTTGGAACTGAGATTTATGGACAGATGAGACAAAGATGAACCTTTATCTAAGTGATGGGAAAGCAAAAGTGTGGAGAAAAAAGGGAACTGCAAATGATCCTAAGCATACAGCCTCATCTATAAAGCATGGTGGAGGTTGTGCATGGCATGGGCATGCATGGCTGTCTCTGGAAGAGGCCCTCTCAATTTTAATGATGACTTAATGTATGATGACAGTAGCAGAATGAATTTGGAAGGGTACAAAACCATCTTGGCTACCAATATTCAAGAAAATGACACCAGACTCACCAGAAAGCACTTCATATTGCTTCAGGACAATGACCCAAAACACCCTTCCAGTTCAGTCAAGAAGTTTACCAGGGCAAAGAAATAGAAGGCCTTAGATTGCCCAATTCCATCTCCAGATTTAAACCTGGTTGAACATGAATTTCATCAGCCAAAGAGGAGACTAAAGGCAGAAACTCCCCAAAACAAGCAACAGTTGTAATTGGCTGCATTAAAGGCTGGGAAATGCATTTCAAAGGATAAGACCAAGAGTCTGGTGATGTCTATTGCACGCAAGGGATCTGCAACTAAATAATAGCTTTTAACCTTTTACATCTGCCTTAAGTTCAACTGTTCCAATACTTATGCTCACATCATAAGTGCTTTTTATTTGGTAAAACATGTATGTTGAAACAGCTAATAATAAAATGTGACATTCTGTAGTTTTGTCTCATATTCATCTTTTAATCATATTTGCAGATGTCTTGACTACACAGCAAACAAAGCAATGTTGTCATGCATTAACAGGGACACAGTATGGCAATGAGCAAATGACACTCTCCCAGCACTGCTGTAAAATGCTGTAGAAAACATCTAATCATCTACTGTCTTATAAAAGTAACGAAAAGTAGTTTGATGCTGTTTATGTTGTGATATTTGGATTAAGTTACTAATGACATTTTTAGTTTATTTTCGGAAAAAAAAGGTCTTTAAAGGGGTCATGAACTGCCTTTGTTCTTTTATTTTGCACTGTTCTCTGAGGTCCACTTATGTTATCAAGATTTTGTACATCAAAAAGCATAATTTAGAAGTAATAAGCTATTTTCTGTCCTGTTTTTAAACCCCTCATCAGAACGCTTTGTTTGAATAGGCGTGGCAGATTGTAGACTCGGAAGTATGTGTCAACTGCTATGATTGGCTAATAGTTGGGTTTGTTTGACATCGTACATTCCTCATATATGGACGCTGCTGTGATTTAGGTAAAAAACGCATAAAATACCTCAATACATATCAAACGATCTGTAAGAAGCGACAAAGCAATAGTGACTATACGTAATGAAAATAATTACTCAGACTTGTGTTGTGACATTACTGTCGCACCCAATATAGTCGGCACAGCATCTTCCTTTATTTTCAATCTTTTGGAAAATCCTGCATCGATTTGTGCCTTGTTTGTAAACGAATCCGTGGTAAAATTAAGTGAACAAACTTCTTTGTTTTTCTTACTGACGCTGTCTGGATCTTTATTAAAAATAAATTTCAAATTCATTCACTTTTTCCGTTTGAATCAGAAGGAAGGCAACGCAAACACTGTTTTTAACAATTTGGCACTGCACAGCATCGTGTCTTCAGAGCCATCTTTATCGCTTGGTTTCTGCGCAGACCTGCACGTTCGCCTCTCTCTTAAACACTACATGTGCGAATTGGTGGGCGGGGCTAAACAGGCAGCGATGTAGAAGCAGGCGTTGATCATCTTCTGTGGAGGCGGTGTTTAGCCACACTATTACATCATAGAGTGGAACATTCCAAAAGCTGTCGTTTGGCAGACTGCCTTCAATATAAGCTGTTTTTAGACTAACGACAAAGTTTTGAGAATGATTTTATAGTACAGTGACCTCTTATTCTTAGCTGACCTCATATTCTTAGTTGAACATTTTTCTCCTTTTTTTTCATTTAGGCACATTAGGGGAAGTATTTAAAGAATCTTATGCATGCTGAAATGCATGCTAAAAACACTGAATCAAATTATTAATGGAATTGGTTTGTCTATCAAATCAAATTGAATTGTTCTCAGTTTGAAAAAAAAAAGTGTTTTAGATTTCAAAAACCATTGAATCATGAATCAAATCAATTCACACTCCTATTGATTACATCACAACCTCTATTGTGAAAAAAGAGATACACAGTACAGGTTCTTGCCGTTCTTTTGCTGGAAATTTCAATTCATATTGGTATATGCCAGCTATCTAAAAGGTTGATAATATTGGCTTGATCATCTTCAATCAGCTTAAACACGTTAGGTCATCTATGATGCATACATAATCAGAATATTCAAAATGGACAATGTCAAATCATAATGAAGATGCTGCTAAAAACATGGTTTGAATGTTAATAGCAGTATTATCATTCATTGCAGGATTTGTTTGCCGTTGGATGCTAACATGATTAGAACTGGCAGCTTGTTTTGGGTCAGAGACAGCATGTGTAGTGATGGTGTATTGATGAGGGAAGTGTTTTTTTGGCCTGAAGGCACTAAACGATGAACTGCCATCCCCACAGAAGCAGCTGTAGTGTCAGTCAGTCTATACTAGCAAGCGGTTGATCACTGCATCGGCTGAACCAGAAGGACAAATTATTCATTTACACTGAGGGAGAAAAAAATGTCTAGTTTTGTCTAGTCTAAATTTCAGAGTTTTTTTTGCAACAACATGAAAAGCATTAAAAACTTTGCTACATACTATTCCTCAACATAAGAAAAAGTAATTGGCATCAGTAAGATGTTTAAGAAGTCTCTAATACTCACCAGTGCTGCATTTATTTGATCAAAAGTACAGTAAAAACAGTAATATTGTGAAATATAATTTAAATTTAAGTAACATTTTAAAAAATATTTATATATTAGTTTTCAATGTTAATATATTTAAAATGTAATGTATTACATTTATAGCAAAGCTTAATTTTCAGCAGCCATTACTCTAGTCTTCAGTCTCAAATGATCCCTCAGAAATCATTCTAATATGCTGATTTGGTGCAGTACAGTTGTGCTGCTTGATATTTTTGTGGAAACCATGATACATTTTTTTTTTTTTTCAAAATTCTTAGATGAATATAAAGTTAAATAGGACAGCATTTATTTGAAATAGAAATCTTATAACATTATAAATGTCTTTATTGTCAATTTTGATTAATGTAATGTGTCCTCGCTGAATGAAAATCTTAATTTCTTAAAATTCTTACTGACTCCAAACTGTATGTGTCAAAGTTCTTCCAACCTTATGCTGTTTCTGGCTGTGTGTAGCACCTACAGCTCTGTAGATCACAACATTAGAAACAAGCGACGGAGGTTTATTTTTACAAGCTCCCTGCTCATTTTAAATAATTTAATTTTAACACTTTGAGCATGTCCATGTACGTTGTTTTGTGAATCTGTAAGCTTTACAAAGAAGCTGATATCTAATTTTGTATTTAAAGAGAAACTGTCAGCTCTGGTCAGTCCTCTTATTTACATATTTTGGTCAAATCTTTTGGCAAACATATGTATGGACCCCAAATGGGAATGGTTTGATTTAAAATTGATTGTCCTTGTCAGATCTTTTTGTATTAAATAACTTGTAAATATATAAAGAATGCAAATTTGTTACGCTTGTTTGTCTTTTCTCTCTTCTTCTCCAGGTGCCAAAGTCAGGTGAGCAGGTGGCCCATAATACAGCAGAAGCATGTGTGGACACATCGGGTGCCACGAAACAAGTGTCCTACAAGACCGAAATCATTGCAGGAGTGCCCATCATCACCACCACACAGGTCATTTAACCTCATGACACATTAACATATATTAAAGATGCAAAAACAAAATCGGGTAAAAAAACACTGAGCAGTTCCATGATAATCAGATGCTTTATACTTTAATTAAAAGAGGTATCATTCAGTACCATGATATTTTTACCATGTGTTTGTGCAGTATCATTACTGATGTAGCTAATGCAATGCATTTGAACAAAAAATGGATGTAATCAACATTGTTGTATGTCACTGGCTCTCAGGAAAAGGGGGAAGGTCAGAATGGTGCAGACAAGAGCGGGATGAGGAAACCTCCTGGTCAGCTGCCATTTTACCTGAGCCGGAGTAACCAAGACCAGTCGGTCATTAAAGCTGGATATTGTGTCAAACAGGGAGCTGTGGTGAGTAAAAAGTGCAGAAGAAGTTTGTATATGTGTTTTTTGTCGAGTATCATATTTCATACATCAGACTTTTAGGGCTCGTGTAATATGATATAGAATATGGAGGTCATACTCGAGGAGGGGATAAAACACCTCACATTTGTTCAGAGGCCTGAACTGAGCAGAAATATGCAATTTGATGCAGTTGCTGATATTTATATGACAAAAAAGTAAAATACAATTCTGATAGCATAACAGTATAGCAGACTACTTACATAAAATGCATATAAATAAAATAAAATCGTCACTCTATATCTCACAACAGTATATCTTAGTAAGATGGTCTCTAAATACCTAGTTTTATTTGATCAAATACTTAGTTTTCAAAGTTCTATAGTTTTTATTGTGGGGGACAAAATGTAATGCAATATAGTGATGATTGAGAGATGGACAAATAAACATTCTACGAAAGCTTGATGAATCATATTTGATCAATTTTAACATGATGTATGGATAATCACAGAAACCAAAGTTTCTTCATTCAAGTAAATGATCATCCTGAAATATTACTTACAATATACTAAGGTTATTCTTGTGTTTACTTTATAAAAATATGTATAGATACCACAGAAAAAAAGACACATGTACCGCAACCTGAAGGGTTTTTAAAATTGTAATAAAAGGCCTTTTACTTGCTAAAAAAGTATTAACCTTTGTACAAAAATTCAGCATGATCATGTTGACAATTTAGAGGTCTTAAAAATGTGCTTATCAAATATAATACAGTAGGCTTTATAGTGTGTTCACATTAGCGAAATTTAGGTGAAGTTTTGCAGACAAAAAAGATCCAATATCTAGCCTAGCATAGCTCACACAAAGTAGCTTTCAAACCTGGCAGCTTTCTTTTGGTCAGATACGTCTTTCTGTCTTTCTCTAGATGAAAAACTGGAAAAGGAGATACTTCTTGCTGGATGACAATGCACTAAGCTACTTCAAATCAGACATGGTTAGTCTCTCCCTCTCTTGCTTCCTGCTCCTGCATCTCTCTAGAGTCTTGCACAATGCTGTTGACCTTGAATTCTTCTCAAACCCATTGACCTGTCCAGCTCTTTGTTTTCATTGTGTTTTGCACCTGTGCGTCTATGAGCCCGTCTATAAGCTCCCATCTGATAAGTGAAAGTCCGGCCTGTGTATTGTTCATGCCATCTGAGCCTGTGTCCAATCACATTTCACCAATGAAGTGTATTTACATATGTGCCCCCAGAATTAGACCAGTGACTCATGTGGGAGTGAAAGCTTGTGTCCAGTGGAGGCTATAAGACCGTGTGTGTGTGTGTGTGTGTGTGTGTACCCTGGTGGTTGTTTGAACTTGTTCACAGTGATATGAATTCCTCTTGCTGTGTGTCAACAGGCTGACTGTGTCTAAACATGTCTGTATCAGTGGTGATTGCTTTAGGACTACACTGGAAGCACATCTTCCTCTTAAATTTCATTAGAATTTTGAGGAATTCATAATTACGTTTTAGAAACAAATATAATTCTATGATGTTAAAAATATCCGCAGGGCTTGATGCATACTTTTTTTACCAAGGAGTTGAAAAATTTCTTAAGTTGAAAAATTTAGGAGCGCATTAAAGAACTTTAGGGGAGCAATACAGTACTGTAATAAATAGATTATTTTGCTGATACTATTAAAATCTATATTTTGAAACTGCGAGCCTGTAGAATATACAAGCGCTGCGGTTTTAATTTAAAAAGTGCAGCGCCCTAATTTGAAAAAAAAAAGTTACATTATAGCCATATGAAGTTTAATAAACACATTAGACTGCATCGCAATTCTTATTCCGTCCTGAAATTAAAGACCTCTCAAAATTACAATTAAGATGTTTGTTATGCCATGTTATACCAAGATATTTAAGACTTTATGACCTTATGATTTTTTTTTTTTTCCACTTTTTAAAGACCCCTGGGGACTTTTTTATTTGCACATGCTCCTAAATATATTTTACAGTTTGCATACATTTATTTTAGTCACAAATGTGAGTTGTGATTCAGAATCACTTTATATTAAGTATCTTTAACTGCGGTGTACTAACATTTAAATGAATCATTTGATACAATGCACTTATGTACACGCTTGTTTTTACGCTGTACTTAGATTTTAAAAAATGTCATTTTAATTCATTAACTATTTCTGTAATTATATCTATAATTACACTGCTGACTCTACTTTAAACCTAACCATAATATCCGAAACCTTAACCGTATCCCACCTCAATAGCAGCAAAATTGTTTTGCAGTACAACATGATCATAATAAGGACACTGTACCAAGCAATTATTTTTTTGATGTAAATATAGAATATAAAGTGGAACCAAATATTCAATTATATATTTTCTTTGTTGTAATTTCTGTCTTCTTAATGCTATGATTAAATTGCCTAACCCCAGGTCAAAGCCACTTGTATTTTTTGAAAAGGTTAACACCACTTTTGACCCTGAGATATGAAGCCCTGCTCCAAATCACAGTATGAGAGCAGTGTCAATCACTTACCCTACAGGTATAGGTTTGGTAAATTAACAGTTTCATAATCCAGGATTGAATGTGACACTGGGTTAACAGTTTCAGGAGTGAGAAGCCTATAATATCACTCAACTCATTGGAGTATCGATGGAAGGACAATTGGTTAGCATATGACATGTTTCCACTAAAATAAAGTGACTGCCATGTCTTCATGTCTGATAAAGAAACCATCATTGGCTCACTTTTCGGCTGTAGTGGTTTAAAATCATGGTAAACGGTTATAAATTGTTTTGACTGAGGGGGCAGAACAATGGAAATTTGTTCCACTGTTCAAACTTCCTGTTGAACATTTTTGAGAAACATTATTTCCCACGGATTTATAGTAGCCTAATTATTTTTATTCCCATGAAGTTAAGAATAGCAGAGACTATTAAACTGATCTTTTTCCTCTGACAGTGAAAATCCAATGCAGTTATTACTTGGAGTTAGTCATATTAGCAAAATCTTACAAAGTCTTACAAAACTTACTGTGAATGTTTGATTTCATATCCAGAATACAATTCTTGACCTATTTTCAATTGTGAAACTGTCACAAATCATACAAAGATAATTGTATGAAATCAAATCTATTTAAACTGAACCAAACCTTACACTCTAAAAAATGCTGGGTTAAATACAACCCAGTGCTGGGTTAAATAGGGACAAACCCAGCAATTGGGCTGTTTTGACCCAGCGGTTGGGTTAAATGTTTAACCCAACCTTCTGGGTCGACTGTAAAAAAAAGTTTTTTTTTTTACAGTTTTTGCCAATAAATTTTACAGTGTTTTCCCTGTTTTTTTAAATTACAGAAACCATGTATTAAAATTGCAACAATAAACTGTTTATTGAAATGTGTAACATGATTTAACAAAGAAAATCTGTATAAACGGAATACACTAAATATCTGTTTTTTTAACAGATTTTAAACGTCAATTTAAAAAAAGTAACCGTTAAAATAAAGTTGTTTTTTTTTATAACCTGCTGGCCTCTTTCAATACATGAATAACAGCTGCGTCAATTTCTGACACCATTATCTACATTTTTTTTAGAACAGTTTTTTTCTGTTTTTTAACAGACATTTTCTGGCGCCCCTGCTGCCAGAAAATTACCGTTTTTTTAAGATTTTTTTTTTTACAGTGTAGTAACCCAACCGCTGGGTCAAAACAGCCCATTTGCTGGGTTTGTCCCTATTTAACCCAGCACTTGGTTGTATTTAACCCAGCATTTTTTAGAGTGTAACTGTATTCAGATTTCCGTCAATCTAATTAGAAGCTAATGGACTACGATCTGTGGTTCTAAAGTACTGGATTTGTTAAACACCATAGGAAAAGACAACTGTGATGTCGTAGGTGACAAGAACTTGTTACAGCTTCGGCAAGAGAACAGGAAGCAACTGATTCTCTCTCTCTGTGTGTGTGTGTGTGTGTATGTGAGGAGGGCAGGCATAGGAAGGAGGCTTGGTCAAAGGCTAAATCATACAGTAGATGTCAATAAAGGCTATTTCAGGGCTGATAATCACAGGCTTGCGCTCAGTGCAGCACCCTGCTCGGGCCTGCACTTCCTCACTGCACACACTCAGCATGGCTGGAATGTTTGCTCAGTGCTTGTTCAATCATTCACATGAAATAAAGACAATATTTAATACATTACTGAATGAAACTTTGTTTTTAGGAGCGAGAGCCATTACGAGTTATTCCTCTGAAAGAAGTGAACAAGGTGCAGGAGTGTAAACAAAGGTCAGTAGTGCTTCATTTGTGCTTTTGTTTTGTTTTGTTGTTTTTGGTTTTGTTTTCTTTTTGTTTTGTTTAGTCATAATGTTAGTTTACTTTAGTTTTGTTTAGTTTTTTTTTTTTGTCTTGTTTTGCTTCGTCTTGTTTTGTTTTCAAAAATGGTTTCCAAATACACTTCTGCCACACCCCTTGTCATTCAGTGTTCCTCAAAAAGGAAGTCGTGCCCCATACATACACCTCTGTTTGAGCCAGAGATAAACTGTGTAAACAAATCCTACTCAATTACTGTCTCAATGGTTTACTTGTAGTTAGGCCTGTCGCAATAACTACTGCTAAGTAGTGATTGTGTTTTTCAGGAATAGTGAGCACCCTTAAATTACAGAGAAAAGAAGGTCAGGGAAAAATCTGTAGATGGAAAAATCTCCATACAAGTTCTTTGTGCATTTTTCATTTTTTCTACTTGTAACTTTACACTTTTTGTTAGAAAATGTTTATTTACTATTTATTCAGGTTTTTTAAGGTATCTAATATTTCATTAGTGACGTTAGCAATATCTAACCTTTTAAAAATGGCATCTTCTTGATGAAAACACACACTCTGAACAGACGTCATGGTGATGTATGTGTTCTGTCTGGATAGGTCAGGCAAACATTACATTTGTTATATTTTTATTTACTCCAGAAGTTTATCTTAGTGCTAACATGTGACAGTTCACAGTGTTTCAAAGTTATGCTGTTTGGGACTTGGGCAGACCTTTCATAATAGTGAGCAAACAAACAGTAATAAACAATAACAGCATTCCTATCATGCATCTGTGCTGCTGTGCTGTTTCAGCAGCTTTGGATTTTACCCATAATTCTGTTGTGTCTAATACTGATTTGTGTTTTTAGTGACTTGATGATGAGGGACAATCTTTTTGAACTGGTTACTACCTCAAGAACTTTCTACATTCAGGTAGAAATGCATTAATTCTTATTATTTAATTCATATTAATTCTTCACCCTTTCTATTAGGCTGTGCCTCAATGTTTGATGGTAAACTAAATGCATACTCTTTCTTACAGTAGTGTTTTAGTGGCGGGTTAAAAAATAATAATGTTGCTTTATATGATTTTAGAATAGTCTCAAAAGTGTTTTTCAACAAAGTAGTTTTGAAAAATAAAGTTGTGACGAAAATTTTAAAGCAGTGATTATTTTAAACATAATAACACTTATTTTATCATACTATTAGAAGATTTTTCTTTATTTTATTTTAACATGGCACTAAAACACTGACTTTCATTTTTTTTTTAAATCAGAAAATCAAAGTAAAGTATAATAAAGCATAAAGGGATGAAGTGATTTGTGAAAACACGCTACTTTTCAAAAGTTTGGGGTCCATCAAATTTTATGTTTTGTATAAATGCATATTCTCTTTTGAGTAATTTAATGCACCTTTAATGCATATAAATATATAAACCCTTTAATATTGCTTTCTGTGTTTTATCATAGGACTCTGTGTTTTTAATGTAAACAACTTTTATTGCAATGGGACAATAGTTTTGGCTATTGTTTAGTTTTGTCCCATTACGTTACTTTATTTGCAGTGGAGACACATTACATCTTTAGAAATTTTATATCAGATGGAATATAACATTTATATTTCTTGACTCATTTTTAGCAGCAAAAACCTGATTTCTTGTCTGAATAAAATGACTGGAAATCACATTTGTGATCAGAACGATAAGTTTATGTTATGTTACCTTTTAATCTGAAATGGCTCTTTGTCTCAAAGTTTTGAGAGCCACTGATCTAAATCATTTCAAGCATGAATAAATGTTTTAATCGATTGTTTTTAAACGTTAAACATTTTAACAAAAATGAAAGCTGTCTGTATTTTCTCTGTCTCAGTCGGACAGCCCAGACGAGATGCACGGCTGGATCAAGGCTATCTCTGGGGCCATAGTGGCCCAACGGGGTCCTGGACGCTCAGCAGCCTCTGTAAGAATTGACATTGTTTAGTGACATTCCGAGTTCTCCTCTGTTTTGTGCTCTTCCGGTTTGATTTGTCTTTTGTGAAGTGTTTTGTAGCCACACATCCTGTCCATGTCCAGCCCAACCATGTGTCTCTTCAAACGTCACTCATTTATGTTTACTGCTGGAATGACCAAAAGGATAGTTTACCCTAAAATTAAACATTTGTCATTGTCCGCTCAAAAACTGGCCCGATTTACCAGACTGCCCATTCTAGTATATCCTCTTTGTGCCTGTCTGTCTCTGTTCTCTTTTTCTGCCGTGTCGGTGCCTAATGAATGTGCGCTATGTTACAGATGCGTCAGGCCCGGCGGCTCTCAAACCCTTGTATACAGAGGTATACATCCTGCAGTGGTGAATGCAGCACGTATGTGTTGAGAACAAACCCCTTGCGCTTTGTCCCTGTTTGTTTGCATCCAGCCCCTGCTTAGACTTTAGAGCTAGATCTGAGCAGGGTAGAGGTGCCTCACCTAAATAATCCAACCCCCGCAGACAAACCAAACTAAAACCAAACCTTCATGTCATTCTATAGTGACCTTTGACATCCATCATCCCCATTTTCTCTTTTAATATACTTTGGTACATCCATACTAAACATCTCACACATTCATCTGATTACCCACACTTCTGTATCACAGGGTTATTATAGTCAACTAAAACTAAAACTGAAGCTAAAATCACAACCATAAAAGTAGAAAGTTACTTGAAATAAAATAAACGTTAACTGAAATCAAATTAAATATCGAAAAAAAAAAACCGTTTATTTAATCTAGTTACGAAGGTAGCATTTCTCAGTTTAATTTAGTTTAACTTGATGTACTAAAATAAACCAAAACTGAAATAAAAAAATGAAAACAAAAACATAATATAAAAAAAAAACTGATTCAAAATGTGAAAAAAAAAAAAAAAACTGCTGTCCAAGGCTCAGTGAAACATATATTCTAAACTAAAGTGTTACTATTACATAACATTTTTTCATCATATAGTATATATTATCTTCAACATATTATCTAATCTGTCATATCATTTTGTATTCATCATGTTTGATGCCCACATTTAACTTCCATTTACTTACAGTTTACAATCCATTTCTTAACCTCACCTGTTTTTCTTTTAAAAAAATGTTTTATTTTTTTTAATTTATTACAGCACATTACTACATTTACATCTAAATGTCAGTATTAACGATGCACTAAGTCAATTATTTATTTATTTATTTATATATTTCAATCAAATCTCTTTGAAATAATGTACTCTAGTCATATGTGACTAGGAAAAGCTGTTTTAATCTATCATGTTGAGGTCACATCGCCAGCCTTGTAATTTGAACAAGTTTTTAAAGGCAATGAAGATAATGAACACTAATGAAGATGAAAACGCTAGCAAAACATAAATAAAAATGACTTAGTGCACCATTTAAGGCATAGTTCACAAAAAAAATAATAAAAGTCTGTCATAATTTACTCACCCTCATGGTGTTGATTTAAAATATGCATACACTTCCACATAAAAAAAGAAAGTCATACAGGTTTGGAGTAACAAAGGATGAAGAAATGATGGCAGAGTTTTCATTTCTGGGTGAGCTATCCCTTGTGAAAAAGAAGTTTGCTTACTTGTATTGAATATGCACTTATGCACTCAAGTATATTTTAAAAACTTTACTTGCAGATAATATAATATTTATGAAGTTAAGTGTACTTAAAAAGAAGTGTACTTAAGTACACTTTTAAGAAACAGTCTTTTTAAGTACACTTAATTTCATAAATATTATATTATCTGCAAGTAAAGTTTTTAAAATATACTTAAGTGCATATTCAATACAAGTAAGCAAACTTCTTTTTCACAAGGGATAGCTCACCCAGAAAGTACACTATTAACACTTATTTTGATTAATTGACTAACATACTAAAGCACATGTGAAGTACTTACAGTAATTGTAATTGTTAACTCTTTGATGTGTTATTGATAGTTTAAATGTACAAACTTACAACTTTATCATTACAAATGTGCTATTACAAATGTTTTAAAACATGACATACAAGTTTCAATAAAAATTGCTTAAGCATATTTCAGTTTACTATAAATGCTTGTCACTTTAGCCATATTTCAGACATAATTATGAAATTACATATCAAAATGTACTTAAGTCCTACTGAAGTGCATCAAAGAAGCACAGAGTTCAACTAACTGCATGTAAAATACATTTAAGCTATAATTAATATTCATTTAATTGTAAATAGCATGCAGTTAAATTCATTTTGCACTTAAGCATGTTCTTTTGAAGCATATTGTTTCCATAATAATTACTCTTTTTTTTAAAAGAATTCTTAAGTATGCTTCTTTTTCACAAGAGATTTCATTAATGTCAAGGCCTGTTCACACCAACACAAATGTTCGTCAAAAAAATTGAGTTCGTTTTTAGCTATTTTTATATAATGTTTTTGCATTTCTGTTCAGACCAATGCAAAAAAAAGGGAAATTAGAATGAACGTCTTTTTGTTGACAGGCCTTTAGTTTTGAATTTAAAAATAATAAAAATGAAAACGGTCTCCTCAGAGCTTTTTATTTTACCTGCCTTTATATGTTGAATCCTTTTTCTGTCTGTGCCTTCCTCGAATGCTGTCTCCTCTCATTTGTCCCTTTCAGAGATTAAACGTGACACTGAGACACTAACAACCCAAACACAAGCCTAGCAGCTGTCCTGTTCCTGCTATATCCCAGACTGATCTCCAACGTCCAATCTGCTGTAGCTTTCACTGCCACTGCTCGCTGACGTGACTGCCGCCCATGTACTAAACTTCCTGCTCTTCCTCTTGCTTCACCTGCTCTTGTTCTTGAGATTTTTCCTCCATCTTCCCTTTCTACCAAAGCGGTTTCCTTTGTCCTGACTGACACTGCGTTCTGTAACCGTTCCTCAATCTCCACAGGAGCACGCTGAACCCACCTCCGTCTTCTACTCCAATGAACAGAGCCTCTCAACTCCTTGCTCACCCCTCCCCACTGAACTCCATTACCCAGAATGCCGTTCCCCCTCGGGCCCTCAGCATGGTGTGGGAGGGGCCAGACCTGAACAGCCTGCGCCTGGGGCCACGAGCGCGCCTGTCGCTGCAGGAGTCGCCCCAAATCTTCTTCAAGTAAACGCTGACGACTCGTCACCATGGCAATTCAGAAGCGGCGTAACACAGCCTCTGGATATCCCACAAGATGAAGACCTGCATGTTACCCAGGTGTAACAATGTACTTGGTATATAACACACACACACACACACACACATTACAACAAACTGTTAACGCCAAAATCAGGACATGGTTGAATGTGAATCGAGCCCAGTGCACCATGGGATATGGAGTTTTCCCCAATCAAGCCTCTTAAAAAAACTGCAACAAGTTCAAACCAGAAAATTCATTGAGACACAAAAAAGTTGCTGTTACCAACAGTTGGTTATTTTCCTGTTACGACCAAAAACCGATATCATAGTTAATATTATAAATCTATTATGTTTTTTTTTTCCTGTTTTTAAATCTAAAATACCATGTACTTAAAGTGAATTTAGTGGAATCAGGCATCAAAACACTTAATGTACAGTCAAAAACTGGAAAATATATTGTTTAATAAAATAAAGTATTTATTTTTATTTAGAAAAAAGCAGATATATAATAAAAAGAACTTAGTTAATATTAAAACAGTAGTTTCCAGTATTGACCTAATCAAACTGATACTGATAAATAAATGATATGCTACATATTGCTGATACCAATAAGGCCACTGAAATCCTTGAATCCATAAATTCTGGTTTCTTTCATTCATTTGAATTAATCTGGGGGAGGACTTGTCCTACAGTAACATATTTCTTGTTCAGATGCCATCGGGCCTTGGTTGTCTTGTTTTTCATTGGTGATTGAATTTCGTTTACTTTTTTTGTTGGAATGATTTAAGTATAAATTGAATTGGACTTTGTGTTTGACCACAACAAGCTTCTACCGATATGTTTTGTATTGCTGTAGAGAGAATGTGTTTCGTGTTATTATATTTCAGTGTAAAACACACTGCCACTCACCATGAGGCAGCTCTCTTTTGGGAGCAAGACTCTTTTTAGTGGCACTTCTGTTTGTCAGATGCATGTGAACGTATGACTCTGTATATCTACATACAAAAAAAAAAACACTCCAGATGTTTGTTAAAGTTAGACTTTACAAAAAGGTTCAATTTGTTAACATTAGTTAATTCATTATGTAGGCTATCATGTACTTAGGATGAATAGTAATGTTTCACAATTATGATTAATAGTTTTATTAATATACAATTTTGTAATAATGTTAATTCAATTAATGTTTGTACTTGAAATGTTTTTTTTTTAGTTTTCAGCATATGTATAACAAATATATTAGTATATGTAGAAGAACATTAATCAACACTGTGAGTATTGTTTATTGTTAGTTCATGATACCTAATACATTACATAATGTTAATTAATTGAACTTTAAGCACAGACATCCACTAAACATTGTTGAATGGACCCTTTTCACAGACTTTTATTTTATAAACATTGAAAATCTAGCCATGTTTTTTTTTATATATATATATTCTCTCTCTCTCTCTCTCTCTCTCTCTCTCTTTAAATTACAATGTACTTTTGTACGGAATGTACACAACACTATACTTTGTTTTATATTACCTTGCCATTAAATTACAGTGTAATTGCACATGAGGAAGGGGTGGCAAATGTTACATACAGTATTTCTTTCTTCTGACTGCTGTAATCAATCTCTCTATATATTTCTCTTGTTTTGTAAAGTTATAGAAATGCTTTTTTGCTACTGAAGCAAATGGTAACACAAATATGTGGAAAGGGTCTATATGTTAGTATTAGTGTGAATGCGAGTCAGTGACACCAATGATAAATAATGTATGTTGTTTTATTGTGGATTCAGACACTGCAACATGTGTTTTCATGTGTAATGTATGTAGTTGTCCTTGGCTGGAAAAATTATACATTTTTGAAATGAATCAAAATAGTGTTTTTGCTTTTCTTTTAGAGACATGGTTTGACTCGGGGTTAGTTAGAATTAGCTTTATGTACATACAAAAGAAGTATTACTGTGTGTGTGTGTGTGTGTGTGTGTGCCTACTTAACCATCTATTGGAGACAAATGTGTACCCAGAAGTGAGCCAAATCTGACAAAACCACCGTTTGTGGATGTCTTCATTTGTAAAAACACCTAAAAATACAGTAAATAAAATGTAAAAATAAATGTAAAAATGCAGGACATTTCCAGTTAGGATGTGGTTTAGGTATAGGATTTATAATTATCTTTGTATAAAGAAGTTATTACTTTGCAGACATTATTATTGTCTGTAATGTCTATCGTCAGTTTGCACAGGAAAAACAATGCTACCTGTATGAAAGCCCAACGATGCCACCCAGAGGTATCTTTATGTCTATAACCTCCTAGTTGTTACTAAAGCATCAAACCAGTGCTGTACTCAAAAACCCACTCATTCGAATCAAAGTCCATGCCGAGACTTGAGTAGGTTGAGTCCAAATGACAAGACCATTATAAAAGAAAATATGGCCTTGGACTGAGACTCAAACAGCATGTCACAGCATGCATATACCATTGCCCTGCAAATTTTTGTGGGCAAATTCCATTAATTTCAATGAATGGTATTTGTGTGATTGGGAGGTTTGCATGAGTTTGGAAAAATTCACTATACAAATCAGATCAAGCTCAAGCAAGTGAATTTGCTGTGCTGACCATCAGAAAGCTGTTTGGTTTAAAAGTGGCTTCTGTGTGAGCTGTGCTTCATACATCGTTACACAATGGCGAATGGACAGTTTTTGCCCAAAAATTTTTGCCTAAAATTTGCAAATGTGACCGTTAAAAGCCCCTATTTAAAGACTATTTCTTTATTGACTCAGTTGAGGTTCAACATCACAAAAAGGTATGTTGAAAATAGAGTAGCCTTATAAGTATGTATTTATAGAGCTGTGAAAAGTTTTTTTTTTATGGATAGGATCTTATACCAAACTGTTTCAGAAAATTCCAGACATGATGAAGAAGATGGTGATTAAATTATATCAGTCTGGATAGGGTTACAAAGTTATTTCAAAGGCTCTTGGACTCCACAAAGAACCACAGTGAGAGGCATTATCTCCAAATTGAAAAAAAAAAAACTCAGCACATAGTAGCGAACCTTCCCAGATTGGCCGACCTTCTGAAATTCCTCCAAAAGCACATTGACGGCTCATCCAGGAAGTCACAAAAGACACAAAGACAGCATCGCAGGAACTGCAGCTTCTCTTGCACCAATAAAGATCACTGTTCATAGATCCACAATCCAATACTGGCCAAAAATGACATCCATGGAAGAGGGGTGAGGAGAAAACCACTGCTAACCCAGAAGAACACTGAAGCTCATCTGAATTTGATGATGAAAAACATACCTTGATGATCCTCAAACCTTTTGGGAGAATGTTTTGTAGACTGATTAGTCAAAATTAGAATTGTTTGTCCATAAAATGTGTGGGGGTTATTTAAATTTGTATTTATTCATGAATTTCTTTTTTATACCACCCCTCATCAATCCCTACTTAATTTTAAGTATTAAGTATTTTGTCATTAAATATCCAAATAGCATAACATTAAATTGCAGATTTAAAAGAACATGCTTAAATCCTCCTATCTTAAGATTTTGTTAGTAAAACTAAGGGAAACGTGCTCTTATCAGTTTTGTGAACAAGTTTTAAGCAAAAACTCCTAACTAGGAACCCTTTTGAGAGCTACTAGTGGAAAAAATATAATAATAAACAAATCTTTGTGAAAACGGCCCCTGATCTTCAGGTTTGTGCAGCCTTCTTATGATGTTCATATAGTTCCCTCTGCTGGTTTGCTCCTATTATCATATAGTTTCTTATTAACTACAGAAAATGTCTTACATATCACATAGAAATAGGAAAAACTACACTCTAAAAAATGCTGGGTTAAATATAACCCAGCTATTGGGTTGTTTTGACCCAGCGAGTGTACTTTAGAAATGTATCACAGCTATACATTATAAAGGCCTTTCTTATATGATTGTTTTGTTCATCTTTCAGCGTGTTTTTGCCAAGCTAAATCCATTTTTCTGATCCGAGTTCATTATGAAATTAAAAGAGCGGGTTTGACTATGTAACTGATAAATGGTGGAAGTTTATTTGATTAATACTATTATATAAATGCTGGCAAAAGAGCTCATGTGTGCCTGTATTGAATAAATCGCCTCTTAATATCCATGAATATTAGTCATAGGAAGGCTTTGGCTATTGCTAAGGTGATGGCTGAATTTTGGGTTGTTCATTGGGCCAACACATGGGTTGATCCCAGTTCTGCAGCCCTAACACTGTGGTGACTCAAAAGCTTTATGTGCTGTGGAAGGTGCTAATCTCTCCCTTGTCAAAAGAAATACACTTTAGTATGCTTTAAAAAAAGTACTTATTACAGAGAAAATATACTTAAGTGTGAACTGAATGTAATGTTTTAGACACTTAATTGCATGTTATTTGCAATTTATAGGACTTAAGTACATTTTACATGTAATTTCATAATTACTTCTATTGTCTTTTAAACATATTGCTAATGACAAACATTTATGTAATGTTAAATATAAATATTAAATATTTAAAATGTACTTTTGAGTAATACGGTACTTTTAATTTGACATTTTTACAAAGTGCACTTTTTTAAATTTGTACTTAAGAGTGTTCAGAAACTCTTATAAAAGTGTCTACTTAAGTACACTTAAGTGGCTTTTTATTTCATTAAAATAGTATTAGCAAGTAGTTTTTTTAATGTATATACTTATAAGATTCAAAGAACACCATAAGTACACATTTAATTCAATTAAGTGCACTTAATTTCACAAGGGCTATATTATTTGTTGAAAACTGAGAATTCTGTCATTATTTACTCATCCTCACCTGGTGTCTCAAAAGGCATTTGCTGTTGAACGTCTTTTGCTCAAGCGATGCCAAGTTTTAACAGATTCCTTGTAGTTATGAAATTTTGTATTACGGGAAAAGCTAATCTTGTTTATCTCCTGTATGATAAATTGCTTGTGTTTTTCCTAATTTGTATTGTAAGACGCCTGGGATAAAGGCATCTGCTTAGTCAGTGCTTCTAGGCCTTGGTCTTGGAATCCAGCACTACACATTTTGGATGTGTCCTTTATGTAACACACCCGATTTATATCATCAGATCCTCCAAAACCACTGTACAAAATGATTAAATGCTAAATATTTCAGAAAGGGGAGATTTGGAATGAACTATTTCTTTAATATCTTTATATGTCTTTCTTTATAAAGCACATCATTTCACAATGCAATTTTTCTTTATGACTGAAAAGAGGTAGACGCGCAATCATTTGTTTAACACTCTAGCAGTGCCAACGACTTGACAAAAGAGTGATAGTCATCTTAGAACAACTGCAACTAAGGGAGTTACTACAGTTCAGTTTAGAAAGGATAAATGATGTATCAGGATCTCGCTGAACCTTGACTTTATGGATAATCAGGACCACCAGTGCATTGTGGTAAAAAGAGGACAGGCGATTCACACATTGGTCCTGTGATTAAAATAAAAAAGAAGTCTGAAAGATCTGTTCCAAAATCGAGAGATTTGACAGCAGAAATAAGCATTAGCATGTTGCTAAGCTAATAACACCCACCACAAACAAACAGCGGTTAAAACAGTACATTTTAAATATGGAATAAAACTCAATACTCAATATCACTCTCTTCATAACTCCATTTGCCATCTTGGATGATTTTTTCACTGAGCTTGAGCATTTTGGAAAATTTGAAATAGAACAGAGCTATGTTAGACGAAAATAACTGTTTAAATGTAATTTTCATTTTCAACAGATGAACTTTTCATTGCCTGTGACCCGGGAGACAACCAGCGGTTTGAATGGATGAATGGATGGATATTTTCATAGCCTTATGAAAATTTACCATGGTTTTATTGTAGTAATAGGGCAGTAACCATGGTTTTTTGGAGTATTGATTACCATTTGTATAACCACAGTTTTACTACAATTGCCATGGTTAAACTTTAGTTGGTGTAGCAAAACCATGGTTAATTTATGGTTACCGTGGTTTAACTATGTTTTTTTGTTTTATTTGTGGTAAAACCATGATGAATTTTCGTTAGGGTGTTTCCATTGGTTTATTCTATTGTTTGTTGTTCTAAACAGTTTTACAGTCACACTCACACACATTATG